CCAGCAGCTCCTGCAGCACCTGTTTCAGCGCTGGAACAAACACATCAGTCACCTGTAGATCAACATTCCATCACTCTTCCTGTTGGCTCAGTGGATCAGAACCAACCCGACAGTCAGACGCTGTGGTTCCTGTTGGCTCTAAGTGGTGTCGCTGTGTGTGTGTGTGTGTGTGTGTCCAGTGTAAGCCTGGAGACCAACAGTGGACCTCCAGCCTCCAGCTACCTGCTCTGTGGGAACTCAGCTCCGTCTTCAGACAAACAAGTTTCTGTTCATCTTCTTTCACACCTGAGACTGTCGACCTGCTCTGACTCAGCAGCGCCTCCTGCTGCTCCAACAGCTCCTGCACGCGCACACACACACACACACACACACACACACACACACAGACTTTATGACAGCAGCAGAGTTCTTCTCGTCCACAGAAACGAGTGAATCGGTGGGTGTGATGGAGCAGCGCTGCCTCAGGTGTGTCCTCCTGCTCACCTGTACGGAGGCGTCGAGCCGCTGCTGCTCCTCTTGGAGCTCCTTCAGTCTGCTCTCAGCAGCTCCCTGCTCCTCCAGCTGCTGCTGCTCCTGCTCTCTTTTCTACACATCAGTCATCTCTGTCAGCGTTTTATTATTTCTGTATTTACTCCCCATCTTGACATCTTACCCGGTCAGAACCCTGAGCTGGTACCTGAGAGCGGAGTGAGTCCAGACGTCTCTGAGCCTCCTGACAGTCCGACAGCACGGCAGCCAGTCTGAACGCATCAGAACCACGCTGTTAGCAGGCTCAAACACAGCGTCTTCACCACAGACCTCAGCTCTCAGCTTAGTCTGACTCCAGACAATGAACACATTCATCATTTCAGCTTTGAAAATCCGCCCACTGACCCACTTTCAGCAGGTTGCTTCTGACATGGAGGCTGTTTGAACAACATCTGAGGAACTATTCTAGACAACAACCTGAAACATTCTCTGGTAGTTCTCATCATGCCACTGATCCAGAGTCTGTCCTACTGGACAGCAGATCAATGATCTGATGATGAGCGAGATGAAGAAACAAACTGAAGCCGTCATGAATAGTCTCATCTTTGAGCACATTGCTACAAACCGTTAAAGCTGAAGTGAGCGAGTGATGTTTTCTGACCCGCATGTAGCTGCAGGTCACCGTAACATCCAGAAGACTTCAGTATGAAATGTTCTGATCATGTTTTCACCTCGATGACTGACTCAGCAGGTTGACGAGCTGAACCACTAAACTGAACTGTTGGTCGATAATCTGAGCCAGCAGACTGCTGCAGTTTCTCCAACTACAACTAACATGTGCAGGTGTCACTTACCTGTCTGCAGTTGACTGAGTCTCCTCCTCCACCTGCTGCTCCTGCTGCCTCCTCATCCTCAGCTGCTGCACCTCCAGCTGCAGCTGCCTGCAGCCAAACAGGGAACCGCTGAGCTACTGTTAGCTGAGCTTCTGTTAGCTGAGCTTCTGTTAGTTGAGCTTCTGTTAGTTGAGCTACTGTTAGCTGAGCTACTGTTAGCTGAGCTTCTGTTAGCTGACCTTCTGTTAGTTGAGCTACTGTTAGCAGAGCTACTGTTAGCAGAGCTTCTGTTAGCTGAAGTTCTGTTAGCTGAGCTTCTGTTAGCTGAGGTTCTGTTAGCTGAGCTTCTTTTAGATGAGCTTCTGTTAGCTGAGCTGCTGTTAGCAGAGCTTCTGTTAGCTGAGCTTCTGTTAGCAGAGCTACTGTTAGCTGAGGTTCTGTTAGCTGAGCTTCTGTTAGCTGAGCTACTGTTAGCTGAGCTTCTGTTAGCAGAGCTACTGTTAGCTGAGGTTCTGTTACCTGAGTTTCTCCTGCAGACAGGTGACGTTCTCCTGAGCTCGGTGCTGCAGCACGTCGGCCTCCAGCTGAACCTCAGAGACCTGAAGAGACAAAAACACTGAAGAATCAGAAACTGAACCAGAACCGGAACCAATAAAGACCGTATTGATCCAGAGGGATAATCGCTGAAGTCACAGTCGCTCCCATCCAGCCAGAACCATGAACAGAACCAGATATACAGATGAACAGGAGAAAATATGAAGCATTGAACAGTGAAGCATGACGGCACACCAAGGCTCCTCAGAATAAAGTGACTCAGCAGAATGTTACTGAGCATTAACCAGTGTGAGGTGTAGAAGTGACCTGAAGCCTGACGAGTCTGTGGCTCAGGCTGACCTCTGATGACCAGTTACAGTCACTTCCTGTAGCTCTGAGCAGCAGGTGGAGGAGGAGCTACTGCACAGGTGTGTGTCAGTGGTTGTGTACCTGCTGTCTGCTGGTGTTTATGCAGCTCTGAGCCTCCAGCAGCAGCCTGTCAGCCTGACGGAGTTCAGCTCGTCTCTTCAGCAGAGTTTTCTCCAAACACTCCACCTCATCACACACCTGCATCACACTCCTGCTCGCACACACACACACACACACACACACACACACACATAGTTGAACAGAGCCATGTAGCCTGTAGCTGTGGGGAGCTCAGGTGTTCACTCTCATGTTTCACACATTTTAGAGTTCAGCAGAAGCAGCTGGAAGAGTTGGAGGTTGAA